CCTAGAGATAGCCCGTGTGTCCCCCCAATTGGCATTAAAAAGTAGTCTCTGCTGATGTTCATAGGGGGAGGGGTACTCAGGGAGGCACAGCGACTGGCCACTCAGATGATGCTCGGTCCCTCTGTTACCGGCTGTCCCTTGCCCGGTGGCCCCCGGTGGGGGATCCCTAAAGGCTATGAGGCCACCCTAAGGCTATCAGGCCACCCTGGGCTGAAAAGGCCACCGTTGTCAGATCAGACACAAGATTGAATTTACCTGGGCTGGTTAATCCGATGATAATACCTCAAGGTCATTGCCCTTTAAAAAAAAAAAAAAAAAAAAAAAAAAAAAAACGATGCCGGTCACACTGCTTCCTTGAGTTTGGCCACCCGAATCTGGGCGGGGTTATACAATTGCATAATGACCTCCTCCCCTGGCTGTTCCTGGATAGGCCAGGTTCCTCTCCAAGAGCTGAGAATTGACCCGCTGGCCTGGAGCAGGGTCAGTACCTCCAGATGGACCGCTCCCTCGGGCCTTTAGCCAATGGCAGACTGCACGGCGAGAATGGGTTACGGGCTGGCACGCCGCTGTACCAGAATACCGGCAGCAGTCGCAGTCTCAAGGTGGCAGGCGGTACTGCCTGAAGACCTCACGGAACAGGCAACCCAATTCAAACTGCTATGGAAGGATCTTGTGACGCCCAACCTCACGCCCAGCGCGACTTCCTGATCGGAGTGGGATGTGGGCCTGGAAGTGCGAAATGGGGTGTGCCAAGGATTTTTGGGAAAGTGGAAGAGTCTTAGGGGTATGAATGCAATTAGGAGAATAATGGGCACAGGCGCAAGGGACTCAAGGCCCGATGGGGCCTGGGTACTGTGGGCGACGGCTTACGGGGAAGTCCCTCCGCGGAGGAGGTGGTCCCGAAAGGTTGGGCCGTCGGAGGCCGCCGCGTGTTTGAGTTGGGCCGTCGGAGGCCGCCGCGTGTTTGAGTTGGGCCTTCGGAATTCCGGGGTTCTCCGTTCGTCTCCACGTCGACAATTTCCGCAGGGCATGCTGAGCCAATAGGGGGCTATGGCCAGCCACAAAACGACACTAAGTTGATGATACGGGAGAAGAAGGCGAAAGGGAGGGAAACTGGTGCTGATGACGACAAATCCCGGGTGGATGAAGTAGTAGGTATGGTCGGGAGAAGGGAAATCAGAGCACCGGGGGTCGCTAGAGGTGGCGCAGTGGAACTCCCGCGGACATAGTAGATTCTCCGTGTGACAGGGGTATCGCTGCCTTAGGAGTTCGTTTATCCAAAGGGTGAAATAATCTGGGTCGTAGGACGAGTCTGAGCTCCAAGATCGCGTCATGGTGTCATCGTATATGGGATAACTCTGGTCGGGTTATCGTCACCGCGCGCGAACACGTGCAGGACAGGCGAACTTAGTTGCGCCTCAGCGTGCTCGTACGGGGTGATGGTTCCGCCGCGAATCTCTTTGGGTGGGCGAATCAACGCACGGGAATGTGTGTAGTGGGGCGATTCGGATCGCGATTACACGTGTCCTCGCGCGGCATTCGCGGGGCCAGACATCGGATCGTCTAATTGCTCCGTAAGTTTCGGTTATGCGAGATGCAACCACACCACAACCCAATCGTGAGACAAGCAAAAACGAGAACAAATCGCTATCGGGGCCAAATTCTTATCCCATTTACAACTGCATCAGGTACAGGCAAAGATTTGACAGAAGGACAAATGATTAATCATGGCATCCATACATCTGCTCGCTCAGCAACATACACATAATGCAATCGAGACAAAGATCGCAAGGACAAGTGTGAGCAAAAACCCAAGTCCAGATTCCAGAAAGCGGAAATGAAAGCAAGAACGGGCAAACCGCCCCGTGCAACAATCAAAATTTATATACACAGATAGAGAGGGGGAAGAGACAAAAGAAACAGCAGAACCGCATCCATCAACCTCAACTCTCTCTTCTTCTCTCTTCTTCTCCGATGCGGACAGTCCATCGTCACGCACCAACCCACGAAGTCGTCACCCCGCTTAGTCCTCCCTCACCCGTCAGGTTCGCCCGTGCTCACAGTCCGTCGTGGTCCACGTCGACCCCGCGCGTTCGGCACCAGCTCGTTGGGTCGCCCGACTCCTGCTCTAGTCACCTCTTACTTCGCTAGTGTGCCGACCCTTCATGATCGCGCAACTCCGAGTTTCCAACAGCTGGTTAAGAGAGCTAACTAATCGCGAAGCCGGAATTTATAGCGTGCATGCATGCGCGAAGAACACGGAATTACCAAGACTTAGAGGGGAGATTAGAGAGGGAGTGCCTACATTCTGCATGACCGGGCCGCGGGCGCCCTCAATCTGAGCATGCAGTCCGTAGTTTCAAAAATGCAGCAAAAAAAACAGAAGGAGGGCGGGAAGGACAAAGAGCAAGAAGAAAGATACAGTTACAATGGCGCCAACCCAAGATTACAGTTACACACCCGATTAAAGGCGCCGGCTCATCCGAATTCCGTTGCAGCCGCAAAAAGAAGCGCGTAAGCAAGTAGGGGCGCTGCGCGGCAAAAGAAAATCCTAATTACAAAATTCCTAAATTCCTAACTAATGCGAAAAGCAAAAGTATAGGTTCCGGGAAGAAAGTCCGAAATTCCGAGAGCCATAAGGGTTCGACAAAATTCGAAAAAGATTTAAAAGAAAAATTCCAAAAGAACAAGGCAAACTCCCGTGCGATGTCCGCGCCCAAAAGATCGAAACCGAAGCGAAAGAAATGACGTCAACATTTAATAATCGCGCGAGCGGAGGCGCGGCAGCCATCCAACCGACCAATCTATCAACCGGCCATCCCAGAACACGCCCAGCTCCGAACCCAGCCATTCGAAAAGAAGCGACGGAAAAGAGAAAAAGGCAAGGACACTGATGCAATTTCCCACTGATCCCGAACTCCCGTAATTGGCCCAACCTTACCAACTTAGGACCCCTTATTGCAACCACGCAGAAAGTCGCGCGTTACAGAAAGTGGTTCGTCATATATGTGACGCCCAGGGGGTTCCAATATTAGCAAGTTCCTGCTTGCTTGTCGACACGTGTCGATTTCTCTAATCGATCGACACGCGGAGCTCTTCCATCTATCCCACTTACCGTTCGAATGAGTGTGGACGTCATCCCATGTGGCAAACACAACTCTACTACTAAATCCTCAAGGAGGGCCTTTGACGATCCAAGGAGGGGGATTACACGTGCCGCTGTTATGACACATGTCCATTAGCCATACATCAGTGCAGCAGGAGGGTAGACCCTAGACCCTAGACGTTCCTGGGGAATGGGAGTCGAATCACTGACGGTGGAGGTGGCGGATGGTTTAGGGGAAGAGGGGGCATGAATCGATTGATGGCGTAAGAGGCGAAATCAGGAAGGGTAGCGTAGTGGAAGGACCGATGGATGTGGGGGAAGCGAGGGACCTCATGGAGATGGCGAAAAGCCGCGATGTAGTCGCGGTAAATGGTGGAAAGGGTCCGTCGCAGAGCGGCGCGAAAATCTTCGTAGTTTTCGCAGGCGGGAATAGTTCCAGATATAATACAGTATATTTCTACGTGGTTATATTCCCGCCAGTCTGCGCTTAACAGCAGCACGTGAAGGAGAAAGGAATCAACCACAGAACGGGCGGTGGCATGCGGATAAACGGAGACTAGAAGGCGGGTAGCATAGAGATGGTAGAAAAGGTGATGGGGGAAAGGACACCAACCATCGGGGAACGGGGGTCTATCGGGAAGACGGGTAAGCATTAGGTAGGCATGGGGTCAGCGAGAGAACGACCGGGGGTGAAGCCCGAACGCCGAGATCTTGATGTAAACGAATGGAGGATCGGGACGGGGAGCCGGAGGGCTGTGTGTCCGATTTTGGATTCAACGCGGGTTCCGCGTTGAATTATTGAACGCACGTTGAGTTCGCGTTCAACGCCTGTTCAAATGCGCGTTGGACGGGGAAAAACAGGGTCTGCAATGATTGTTTTCCTAGGCAAAATATACTCGAAAAAAAAAAAAAAACATATGGGGTCGTAATTCTTTTCGAGGTCTACGACCCCATATTTTTATTTTTATTTTTTGAGCTTTTAATATATTTAAAAAAAATAAAAAATGTAAGCACAATTACAAAAACAAAAACAAGAAATGACATGAGTCTTTTTTTTTTGGGTTTCACAAAGATTTTTTAAGGGCTAAAAAAAAAACAGAAAAAATAAAATAAAAAATACAGGGTTGTAGATCTTTTAAAGATGTACAACAAAAAAAAAAAAATTGTTTTTTTTTATAACTTCGTGTATTTTTAAAAATATCAAAACTATAAACAACATTTTTTTTGGCCTGCATTGCTTAGGTAATCTTGCTGGGTAGACTCCCTGCTGGGTAGACTCCCTGATTTGGCCTGCTTTGTTCACTGTTGTTGCAACCACCACAAATGATCTGATGGCTGGAAGTACTATGCTGTGATTTCCAGTGGGAGGTCTCTGTTTTTTTTTGTTTTTTTTTTGCCTTTCTCCTGTTTTCTCAGCCCAGAAACTCGTAATGAACCTGTCAGGTCGCTGCCACTCAGTGTCACACTCGATCGGCCACACTCCAATCCGTCTGCTAATGGGACCATGCCCCTGGGGCGAGGTCCCATTAGCAGTCAGATAGGAGCGGTGCCGATCTAGTGTGACACTGAGTGGCAGCGGCCAGACAGGTTCATTACGAATTTCTGGGCTGAGAAACAGGAAAAAGGCCAAAAAAAAAAAAAAAAACATAGTCATCCCACCGGAAATCACGGCAGAGTGTTTCCCAACCCTCAGATCACAAATGATCTGATGGTTGCGGTTGCAAAAACAGTGAACGAAGTAACCGCCATATTTTCTTGGAACAAAATTGACTTCTGTTTGAAGTGATCCTGACACCCTCCATATACCTCGTGATTGAAGAAGGGTTGCACCCAATGAGATAATTGCACAACAGCAAGTAAAATGCTGAATATCTTCTATCCAGTGGGCTACGGCCGACCCTAACCTCATTTGGGGTTGGCCACACCCCCAACCGATTGAAAAGATTCATGCGGGAAGCTTTCTTTGCACTGACTGTGGGATCATGAGTACTGCATGGCAGGATTTGGGTCACTCAACTGCCCCACAAACTCGTTTCTAGCATATCCCGTTGCCAGTGGGACCTAGCCCCTGGTGCTTGTCATTGCTGTCTGGTTGAAGTTACCCTCAATACTGGTAGGGTGATGGTCCTGAGTGCTGGTCACAGTAAGGTAGGATAGTAGGGACAGGGGGTCTGATCCTTGGCCTCTACAAGACCTTGGGCTTTCAAAAAAAAAAAAAAAAAAAAAAGAATGGATCTTCTGCTAGAACTTGGAATAATGCATCGCCATATGTTTTGTCTTCTGTGCATGTGGTGAGTAGGGGGCCCTTACTTTTTACCCCCATGCAGTTTGAATTTCGGGAGGGAGGGGAATGTTTGGCCACCCCACCCTGTTAGTAGGGGTCAAATTTTTAATTTTTTTTTCTTGTTTTTAGTTTTTGGGCGCGAAGGGCCACGTTTCCGAGGCCCAACGCGCCGGTTCCGTTTTTCAAAATTGAACGGAACACGCCCGTTTTATCGTTAAACGCGATTTAACGGGGCCCCCGGGCCCTTTGAACGGGTTCAACGGCGTTGAATTTCACCAGTTCTCCGTTCATAGGACACGCAGCCGGAGGGAACTGGCGATTCACTTCTTCTTCTTCTGCTTCGTGATCCCTCTGCTGCGGTTCCATCTTCCTCTTCTTCTGGCAGCTCTGGATGACGCCACGGGTCCCCGATCGACGGATCGTTTGTCGCGGGTCGCTTTCCCTCCGCGGTCTCCTGGTGCTTTCGTTTTCTGTGCTCTTGCGCTCTTTCTCGAGCTGCGTCGCACACTTCGGCCTCGAATCCTTCCTACTCCGACTCCGCTTGCTTGTTTCCTTCTTCTTCCTCCTCATCTGGTTCCACCTCTTCCTCCTCTTCGTTCTCGTCCCGCGGTTGGCTCGATTCGTCGGCTATCCCTGCTTCGCTTTCCGGTACGTAGTCTGGATCGTCTCGTTCTTCGCTCGATGGCTCTTCCTCTTCCTCCTCTTCGTCTGCTCCCCCTATCTCCTCGTCCTGCGCCACGTTTTGCCTCGCAATCGGGTCCCAAAACGTGAGATCAGTAACGTCGATGTCCAGGTAGAGCGCCTGGGAGGGATAGAGACAGTTGTCCTCGTCAATCTCCATACACGTGGACCACACAAGGTGTGGCTCGAGCGTTCGAGACAGCACGTGGGTGCCAGGCTGCTTGTCACTGTGCGACAAGATGTCCAGGGGCAGATCGTCCACCAGCTGAGTCAGAAACACCTGCAATTCGTCCGTGATCAAGGCGAGATTACCTTCCTCCACCTTTCCGAATACGATTCCCAGCAGATCACCTTGCTCTGCCGTTCTCCAGGCTTGGATGATCAGAAGCTCCACGCTGTCCTCTGGGTGCTCGAGTCCTTCTTCGAACGGGGCCACTTTTGATCAAAGGAACTCTTTCTCCAACAGACAGAAAGCGAGCTCGATATAGTCTTCCCACCACGCGTCTCACTTTTCCTCGCTCAATAGCGGCGCACTGTTCTCCTTAACACGGTAGGAGAGAGTAGGAGCCCGCGCAGATTGCCAAAGGGTGGGGATGTTGGAGGGGAGGCTGAAGTAGGAGACGCGACGATGACTCATTGGGGCGGCGCGAAGGGACGAAGCTCCGGGAGCGCGATCTCTGGCGACCTTCAAGACGACCGGAGCTGGAGATCCGTGTCATGCGCCGGCACGACGGTGTCCCCTCGCCGAGCCAGGAGATCGGTCCACGCCGTCTGCACTTCCCGAGCCCAGATGTGCAACGTCCGATAGATGTCGGAGTGAATCTCTGGCGGAATCGCGGTGATGTCTCCTGTAAAGACGACGACGACGACGATATGGCTAATCCCGGGAGGGGATAGCCGTCGAAAGGCCGAGATCTCGGCCAGAACGCGCGTAGTTGCTTCTTCCGTGAATCGAAACTCTGCCACCGCGTAGATCACCGACGTACTGAAGAAAGCTGCAAACTGGAGGAGATCAGAGCACATATGCGGCCGTTGCACCTGCCGTATGATGCTGATTCGCCCCCGCGGAGTAAGAAGCCGCGCGCCGATCACTTGCTCCGTTGCAAAGCTCATGGCGATGGTGACGGGGTAAGAGAGAGAGAACAAGAAGGAGACGGAGAGATAGGAGAGAGGTAGTCGTCGCCTTCCTCAGGAGGAATCGGGTGAATGCGAAGATGGAGAGGCAGGAAGGGGACAGAGGTAGGACGCGTGGCGGATTATCGGGCGAGCCGATCGACTGCCGAAGACCTCAAGCGCAAGCCGCACGGTGTTCACGCCGTTCGGTCCGAGTTTGATCACGTGAAATTGCCTGAAGAATCGTGGCGCTAGCTTACCCTGGCGAGCACATTTCTTCACCTGCACGATGTCCCCCAATTTGTACTGGGGCCGTGGTCCTTCGTTCCCATTCCGGGCCTCGTAGCTTCGGACCTGTCGGCCTTGGGCCAATTCGGTCATCCTCTGTCGTTTTCGGGCTAGCCTGGGCAAGGACCATTCCATTAGTTCCAAGTGTCATTTGGCCTTGTCCCGAACCGTAGCCCTGGTGGGCCGTCGGTTCAGTGTGGATTCATCCGGGAGGCTTGGTATCGAAACGCAAGCGACGCTATTGGTCCTCAACTGGAAGGGGGTCAACCCCGTCGATTCGTGGGGCGTTCCGCGATGGACCGCCAGGATGTGGTCGACGATATCGGGCCAGGGCCTCAGATCCCGTGCCGCGATATTTCGTCGCAATGCTGTCTTTATCACCCGGTTGGCGTTTTCCACCAGTCCATTGGACTGTGATATGTGGGGTGCAGTGTTCCGGATGGCGACTCCATGTATAACCAGATTCCTCAGTACCTCTCCCCTACATTCAGCCCCGTTATCGGTCAGGATCTCTTCCGTATCCTGGTGCATCCCGCAGAAGTAATTGACGTATCGCGCGATTTTCGTGGCTTGCCGCATACGACAAGGGTATGCCTCGATCCATTTTGAGAAATGGTCGACAAATACCAATAGAACTGAATATTCGCAACTATTAGGGCCAGGGGGGACCACTATATCGGTAGTATCCATGCTCACTTTTTGAAATGGACGTTCAACTATCGTTGGCACTATCGATCTTGGCGGCTGAATCGGCGCCTTATCAGCGGCACAAACTTGACAGTTGGAGACGATGTATTTCACATCGTCGCGGATATTGGACCAGTACCACTCATTTTTGTCGATAGCGGATTCCGTGATTCGCACGGCGAAGTGAGCCGCAGTTTCCTCGTGCGGTGTCTTAACCCAATCATACCGCATGAACGGATGCGGTACAACCATCCAAATCCCACTGCCGTCTGTTTTCCGTTTTTCTAATCTGCCCTCTATCCATCTATAATCCCGAGCCCTCTCGTTGGCCTTCCTCCGATCCTCCTTCGTGAAATCCTGGAGGGGGTTACCTGCTAGGGTGGCAATTAAGGCAATATCAGTCCATACTTCGGCCCTTCTAAACCTTCGGGTCTTTTCCAACCCTTCTGACGTGGCATCCAGAAAGTGAGCCTCGGTCGGAATCTTGTCGGTCCGGCACAAGGGGCACAACCACGGTTTACTATCGTTTCTGTATTGGATGCACGAGCCATGGGCTCGTGCGACACACTGTTGGCAATCTATCCAATCCGCATACCTTTCCCCGTTAGGACGCATGGAAACCAAGTACACGCGGGAGATAGCTTCGCAAAAATAGCAAAATTTGCCAGACAGTGAGAGGAAAGACGAAGAGGAAAGGGGAGAAAGAGGGGTAGTGGGGTTACCTGCGTCATCCATTGCCACCGTTCTGCTTCTTGCCACGTGGGAGAACTGCCACTTGTCCGTACTTAGGTTCGTTTGTCAAGTCTGGCTCCTTCCACGGTGTAATTTCATCACCCTTCGGCACTTTGGCAGGTCGATGCAGACGTGTCGGTCCGTCCGCATTGCCGTGTCGTTCTGTCTTTCGATGAACGATATCGAAGTCATACTCCTGTAGTTGCACCGCCCAACGACCAATCATGCCCGTGTAATTAGTGAGTTTTTTCAACGCCAGCAAAGGTTCGTGATCTGTTACGAGGCGGAACTTTTGTTCGTATAGATACGGATGGAAGTGTTGGATTCCCCAGACCACTGCATAGCATTCGCCTTGAGGTGTTGAGTCATTCCTCCGTTCGTCCGGTAACGTGCGTGACGCGTATTCGATGGCGTGTTCACGACCATCGTTCCCCTTTTGCATTAAAATAGCGGAGATAGCTTCCGGTTGCCAGTTCGTGATGAGAATGAACTGTTTCGAGGGGTCCGGCCGAATCAAAATAGGGGCCGTCGCTAGAGCGTCCTTGAGGGTTGCGAAAGCCTATTGGCACTCTGCGTCCCAGCTGAGAGAATGGTCCTCCCTTAGCAGGTTCGTTAGTGGAAGTGCAATCGCGGCGAAACCCTTGGTGAAGCGACGATAGTACGATGCCAACCCTAAGAAGGCTCGAACCTGCATGAGCGACGTGGGAACTCGGGCTTCTCTTACCGCCGCAACCTTTCTTGAGTCCGACTGCAGTCCTCCACGTGTCACGACATGGCCCAAGAACGAAATTTCCGAAAGGGAAAATTCGCTCTTTTCGAGCGCGATCTTAAACCCAGCGTCTATTAGCGCTCCTAATGTCCACTCGATGTGTTGCGCGTGCTCGTGATAGGTCTCTGAGTAGACAAGGATATCGTCCATGTACACGATCACGCAGAAGTTGATCATCCCCTGTGTCAGCCGCGTCTTGTTGACAAAGTTCTGGAATGTCATGTTCATCGCTCGCTGCAACGTGGCAGGCGCGTTGCAAATCCCCATCGTACACCGAGCCCACTGCCACGTGCCTTCAAACAACACGAAGGCCATCTTCGGCCGATCTTCCTCCTTCACCAGAATGTGATGGAAACCATGTCGAATATCAAACTTGCTAAAATAATTAGCACATCCAATCGCATCCAAGAAATCGTCAATCCGGGGGAGGGGATACACACTTTTGATCGTGATCTCATTTTGCTTGCGATAATCAATGCAAATGCGAATCGCTCTGTTTTTCTTCGGTACTAATACTATGGGAAATGACCAGGGTCGGGTAGCGGGTTTAATCCATCCGCAGGTTTCAAATTCTTGAATTCGTTCGAGGGCCTTTTTGCGTTCTATCAGGGAGTATCGGTACGGCTTACAATGGATCGGGGAGTGATTTCCCATCTGTATTTCGTGTTGAATAACTAACGACAGGCCAATGTCAGTGTCTGTCACGCTAATCGCTCCCCGATATTCTGTCAAAATGTCTGCAATCACCTGATGAATTTCATCGGGTATGTACTGTGGCACGTGTAACTCGAAAAGTTGATCCCAGATCCGTACATCTGTCTTTTTTGTGTGTGCAGGTTTCTTCACATCGGGCGGGGATGCTGAGATGAACGAATGGTCCGATCGCCAGGAAAACACTGTAGCCATCATCTGGGCATCTTCTTCCCGGATTGCCACGTGTCCTTCCGGGGTAATCCCGTCACATATCTCCTGCCATGGCACACTCTTAGTTGCGATCTTTACCCCCAGTTGGTCTGTTTCTGCTTCGAGACGCCCAGGGGGTTCCAGAGAACTTGCTTTCGCCCCCAAGCGTAACAACCGCACTTCTTTGGCAGGTGTCAAAAGGGACCTTGGGAGATCTGCAATGTCACAGTAGTGCTTTTTGTCGATGTATCGGGAGAGAAGCGGGGTGATCCCTTCGTACAGGGTTTGAGGGGGTTCCAAAGAATCGACCATCCTCCAAATCTGCACGAGGGGTTCACCCAAGATCATTGCCTTGGTCCTTTGGACGTTTCTATTGGTAAGATGCATTTTTCTTACTATCGTTATGGGTGGCGGGTAGTAAACACATTGTCGTGCTAGCTTCGGGATCTCTGGGTCATCCTCATCACTGTTGTCCGCGTCATTTGTCGATGACTTTCCATCTGCGGATTCATCCGAGGAAATCATGCGGAGAGTCCCTGCCATCATCGGCGAAACCTGTGGGACTGCGTTGATGGTGGTACGAAGGGTTAGTCTCATAGGCACCGCATAGGGCTTTCCTCCTGTATTTCGGACGACGATCGATCGTCGTTCGAAATCCAGGTTTGCTCGTAGCGCCACTAGAGCAGGAAGTCCGAAAAGAACGTCGTAGGTATTCACATCTAACACGACAACATGTCCCAGTGCATGCACCTTTCCTAGTCGAAAAGCGACATTGGTCATTTTTCCCACTATTTTAATCTTTTCTTCGTCAGCCGAAACGAGCTGATCTTTCTCGGAAAGCATGATCAGATCGTTTTTCCTACCTGCCCTTTCGACCACTCTCAACGAGATAGCCAAAACGGCGGCTCCCGAGTCGATGATTGCATTGTACGGAATTCCCCATATTTCAATATCGCATTCCGCCGATTTCCACGGGATGGGTTTAATCCGTAGGAAATGGTCTTCTTTTTGTATTGATCCTACCCGTATTGGATCCGACGAGCCCGCCATATTTTCTTCTGGCGAGGGGCTTTTGGCCTTTATGTTCGGTGTTCGAGCGAGGGCGAATGTTTTCGATTCGCCTTGCAGTGCTGTAGCATTCGCTCATTAGCTTGTTCCGAGATCGAAAGCAAGTGACCGATCGGGAGCGGAATCCGATGGTCCAAGGCTCGAACGATGTTAAGCACATCAATTTCCCCGGTGACGAAGGTGGGTCCTCCCGACTCCATCTCACCTGGAGAAGGTCGCCACTCCGCCACCTCTTTATATTCTCGCGCTGGTCTGATCATTTCGATCATCCCAAGCCCAGGGTAACCAAGTGATACGTACTGATGTAACGGGATTAGCTCGACGGCCTCTTCCGTGGTGGCTAAGGCACTTCCCCCACTGTCTACTTCTTCCATCAAAGCTCCTACTCGTCCTGGTCCGTTAGCGATGGGCGCCGCGGCCATCGGCGTGATCCCGATACGCTGTTGCGGAGGCCTGTGAGGGCAATCTCGGGCTAGATGTCCAGGTTGATGACATGCATAACAGACGTTTAGGTTGCTTGCGACTCCTCCAAGAGCGGGTGCCGGGGCTAACCCTTGCTGAATCGGAGGGGCACGCACCGCAATGGGCCGCATGTTTCTCATCATGGCTTCCAGCCGGACATTTTGCTCTCGCTGCTCCTTTTTGCTTTCCTGAATTAGACTAACCATTGGCAAGGTTTTGGTCAGCTCGAGTATGGCAGTCGATTCATTCAATCGTACGGGAGTCTCGACTGGGGGGGGGGGGGTGCCGTTCTTACAGGCGTTGGTATTACAGGGACGGGAACACTCGGGATGTCACTTGGAACTGGTCGTTTAGGGTCTATCTGTTCTATGTATGTGACACGACCCGACACAAACCCCATGTTTTCGAATTTGTTTTGCAACGCAGCCAATTCAGCTTTTGCCCTTGCGAGTTCGGACGAATCTCCTTCCCTAGAATAGTCTTCTCCTTCCAGGAAGTTCGCTGCAAACATCCGTTCCATGTCCTCTGCAGCATCCATGATTTGCTGTAGTGTATGATTGATGGGGGAAAACTGCTTTCGCAGCTTCGCCCTTATTGTTCGTCTGCGGAGTCCATCTATGAACAGATCTCTCCCTACTTGCTCCCCTCGCTCAGTCTTTACAAACATTCGATAGAACCAGTTTCGATACTCTGCAACGGACTCGAGAGGTTTTTGCACTCGATCCTTGATCATGTAAAGTGCTTGTTCTGGGTGAATGTAATCAAATCGGTTCAGAAAATCTCGTTCGAAGGTCTAAAGATCTACCTACACATAGGTACTAAACCAGTAATGAGCGTCACCTCCCAATCGAGCGGGGATGTTTACCTAAGCTTCATTATCGTCATACTGTTGTGCTCGGAGCGTAGCCAACCATGCTCCTGCAAGGTGGTGCGCAGGGTCAAATAAATATAGATCAGGTGGCGTCATAGGAGCCCGTGCACGTGGGGTGGGTTGATTAGGATTCGGTTGATTGGCATTCTGCTGCGGGTTTGGTACATTGGCGGCCATATTGGCTGCTCGTCTATTAGCTGATCTACTCCGGGTGACGACGGGGTTGCGTCTATGCGCGTTCCGAGGGCGAGGCCGCCCTCGGTTAGCCAAATCGCCTAATTATTATGCAAGTGATCCTAAGACCCAGCCACATGTCGGGCTCCTATACCAACCTCACGCCTAGCGCAACTTCCTGATCGGAGTGGGATGTGGGCCTGGAAGTGCGAAAAGGGGTGTGCCAAGGATTTTTGGGAAAGTGGGGGAGTCTTAGGGGTATGAATGCAATTAGGTGAATAAGGGGCACGGGCGCAAGGGACTCAAGGCCCGATGGGGCCTGGGTACTGTGGGCGACGACTTACGGGGAAGTTCGTCCGCGGAGGAGGTGGTCCCGAAAGGTTGGGCCGTCGAAGGCCGCCGCACGTTTGAGTTGGGCCTTCGGAATTTCGGGGTTCTCCGTTCACCGCCACGTCGACAATTTCCGCAGGGCGTGCTGGGCCAATAGGGGGCTATGGCCGGCCACTGAACGACACTGAGTTGATGATACTGGAGAAGAAGGCAAAAGGGAGGGAAACTGGTGGTGATTACGACAAATCCCGGGTGGATGAAGTAGTAGGTATGGTCGGGAGAAGGGAAATCAGAGCACCGGGGGTCGCTAGAGGTGGCGCAGTGGAACTCCCGCGGACATAGTCGATTCTCCGTGTGACAGGGGTATCGCTGCCTTAGGAGTTCGTTTATCCAAGGGGTGAAATAATCCGGGTCGTAGGATGAGTCTGAGCTCCAAGATCGCGTCATGGTGTCATCGTATATGGGATAACTCTGGTCGGGTTATCGTCACCGCGCGCGAACACGTGCAAGACATGCAAACTTAGTTGCGCCTCAGCGTGCTCGTACGGGGTGATGGTTCCGCCGCAAATCTCTTTGGGTGGGCGAATCAACGCACGGGGATGCGTGTAGTTGCGCGATTCGGATCGTGATTACACGTGTCCTCGCGCGGCGTTCGCGGGGCCAGACATCGGATCGTCTAATTGCTCCGTAAGTTTCGGTTATGCGAGATGCAACCACACCACAACCCAATCGTGAGGCAAGCAAAAACAAGAACAAAATCGCTATTGGGGCCAAATTCTTATCCCATTTTCAACTGCATCAGGTGCAGGCAAAGATTTGACAGAAGGACAAATGATTAATCATGGCATCCATACATCTGCTCGCTTAGCAACATACACATAATGCAATCGAGATGAAAATCGCAATGACAAGTGTGATAAAAAACCCAAGTCCAGATTCCAGAAAGTCAAAACGAAAGCAAGAACGGGCAAACCTCCCGGAGCCACAATCAAAATTTATATACACAGATAGAGAGGGGGAAGAGACAAAAGAAACAACAGAATCGCGTCCATCAACCTCAACTCTCTCTTTTTCTCTCTTCTTCTCTGATGCGGACAGTCCGTCGTCGCGCACCAACCCACGAAGTCGTCACCCCGCTTAGTCCTCCCGCACACGTGAGGTTCGTTCGCGCCCACAGTCCGTCGTGGCCCGCGTCGACCCCGCGCGTTCGGCACCAGCTCGTCGGGTTGCCCGACTGCTGCTCTGCTCACCTCTTACTTCGCTCGTGTGCCGACCCTTCCTGATCGCGCAACCCCGAGCTTCCAACAGCTGGTTAAGAGAGCTAACTAATCGCGCAGCCGAAATTTATAGCAGGCATGCATGCGCGAAGAACACAGAATTACCAAGACTTAGGGGGGAGATTAGAGAGGGAGTGCCTACGTTCTGCATGACCGGGCCGCGGCGTTGGGGACGTAGCCACTCTCCACGCATCGATCGGAGCATGCAGTCCGTAGTTTCAAAAACGCAGCAAAAGAAAGAGAAGGAGGGCGGGAAGGACGAAGAGCAAGAAGAAAGATACAGTTACAATGGCGCCAACCCAAGATTACAGTTACACACCCGATTAAAGGCGCCGACTCATCCGAATTCCGTTGCACCCGCAAAAAGAAGCGCGTAAGCAAGTAAGGGCGCTGCGCGGCAAAAGAAAGTCCTAATTACAAAATTCCTAAATTCCTAACTAATGCGAAAAACAAAAGTACAGGTTCCGGGAAGAAAGTCTGAAATTCCGAGAGCCATCAGGGCTCGACAAAATTCGAAAAAGATTTGAAAGAAATATTCAAAAAGAACAAAGCAAATTCCCGCGCGATGTCCGCGCCCAAAAGATTGAAACTGAAGCGAATGAAACGACGTCAACATTTAATAATCACGCGCGCGGAGGTGCGCCAGCCATCCAGCCGACCAATCAATCAACCGGCCATCCCAGGACACGCCCCGCTCCGAACCCAACCATTCGAAAAGAAGCGACGGAAAAGACGAAAAGGCAAGGACACTGATGCAATTTCCCACTGATCCTGAACTCCCGTAATTGGCCCAACCTTCCCAACTCAGGACCCCTTACTGCAACCGCGCAGAAAGTCGCGCGTTACAGAAAGTGGTTCGTCACAATCTCACCTACCACCCGAGTGGGTAAGTATGGATGATATCCTAATGGTAACCCCTTCTGCTGTGTGGCTAATGGACCGGGAAATGATGGTGGAGCTTCGCTACACAAGATGTAGTTGGCTTTTCCAATCTACCTGACACCTGTGGTGACAATGCCCTACCTCCAACAACGTTTGAAAATGGTGGGGAGTCCAATGCTGGGTGATCCTGTGTTTCCTCCCAAATGACCTCAAGGGCAGAAACAACTGGGAATACATAGCCCAGGCGGTGACAGGGATAACCATTCGGGGACAGGGGATTGGAATTGGACCAAGGCTGGGCGATCCTGAGTTTCCTCCAACCTCAAGGGCAGAAACAGCTGGGGATACATAGCCCAAGCGGTGAGAGGGATAGTCTGCGAAGTAATCTGGGATAGGAACAATGCCACTTTCCAAAAGCATGTGGAAAATTTAATCAAATGAAAACCCAAAGGTCCTCTGGAGCAGGCCATCAGAGCAGATTGGAGACGGAAGGCACAGTCCAGGAAGCAGGAGACAGTTGGAATAGTTGTGACGCCCAACCTCACGCCCGGCGCGACTTCCTGATCGGAGTGGGATGGGGGCCCGAGAGTGTGAAAAAGGGGTGTGCCAAGGATTTTTGGGAATTTGGGGTGGAGTCCCAGGTCGGAACTGAGATCTCCTGTAGCAAGTTTCAGGGGCAAGAGTGCAAGTGTCTTCTGCTCAGAGTTGAGGCGATGGCGGACCGTGCTGCCTGAGCCGGGTGGGGTGGTACGGGTGTCTTTGTGGGAGTGCTCGTACCACTGCCGACCGTCGCACGCCTCGGGATCTCGTGAAGACGAGTCGGACTTTCGTCGCTCAGTCCTGGGATAGGCTCGTTGGCGGACGGGGCCAGAACCGGGCTATGGAATCCCAGGGGACCACGAGTAGCCGATGGTAGGGGAGGACGGTTAGAAGGTATTGCTGGTTTCACTTGTCAGGATAATCGGGAATCCGCGAGTCTCGATTGATTGCCAGCTGGGAATCGCCCCTGCACAGTCGCTCGTTTTAAGTCCGGCAGGGGTACTCGAGATGTCTCGAGTTCGGTAGGCGGCGTTGTTGTTGGATTTGCGGCCGTCGGATCTGTTCCCTTTCCCAATATGCTCGGTATTCTGGGTTCCTCAGGCTTTCGCGATCGGCGATCCAGAAGGGAGAGTCTATCGCCATATCGCGTTCAACCAAATTCCTGCATTCACATCTTCCTATGGGTCGGGATCGTGGCTAGCTTTTGCGGGCGCACGTGTAGATGGCGCGTCCGCGGACGGGCGTTGTCTGACATATGCGTGCGTGAGGGCTAGCAGACCCGATCCTGATCTGCGCAAGCAGCCAAAGGGGCAGTCCACACCGGCTAAATTCTTGCAGCTAATCCCACCAAGCAATTACACTCAGCAATCCCCTTTCCTCCGGACCCGTATCGCTGATAGGGATTTCATCATTCCTGTTAAGATCAGTTGGGCTAAGTCTGTTCGGGGTTGCGGGCCGACCTCGTCAGTGCTCGTGTAAGCCGTATTCATCAGATCGTACTTACACGGGGACTCGCGGGGTTAGTCCGTTGTGGATTGATCCATCAACCGATCGCT